TAAGAATGTAGAAGAACAGATGTCAAAGCAATTTCCAACCAAATGCTAAAACTGGTCCAGAACGTACCCTGCCCCCTGTACTGTAGGGATGTGCACTGTTGCGTTATGCTAACTGCACCTGTTCCACACCTGGAGCCCCACTGACATCAGTGGGAGCTTTGCACATGCAATGAATCTAGAAGAAAGAGGAACTGGACCATGAATGGAAAGAAGAGGGAAATTGCCTTAAAGCTATAGCAGACAAAATAAACTCTCAGTGTTTCCAACTTTGTGGACACAATAATGTGTGCCCCGCAGAACAATGCTAATTAAGAGGTCTGTTGTTTTATTGCTTTCATGCTGTGTTAATTTGTAGAGACAACATGATATAAAGAGTATTTGTCTTTGGTCACTATTGCATCACTAATGCAGACACAGATTGCAATTAAGCGCTGTTTGATTTACATTAATGGTGCACAGATTGGTTTAAGAGTACACTGTAATATTTAAAGCTATTTAAACAGGCAGCAAAGCCTTTCCTTATTAATATGCATATGCTGTTCAAAATGAGTGAAAGTCTTTTTAAAGGGTTAGAATTTCAGACACTATTTTATCATATTTCAGAGACTTATAGGGCTTCTCACATCTGCATATCACCTAAAATGTACTTGTCATAAGATTTATGCCTTAACACACATCTCACCCTAAGTGGGCATAGAGATGTGACAAAACTTTGATCCATTTGAAGAAAATCAATTCATTTACAGAAGAACCTACATAATTTGCACTTTCTGAAACAATACGTGAACTGAAAAGACTATGCTTTGAAATTGACACGTCTCTGAATTTTGCAGTGCACCCACAAAGTCCTGTATTAGTGAAAACAGCATTGAAAAATGTGTTGTATTAGGGAAAACTGCTTTGCAAAAAAAGTGAACATTAGGCAAAATTGCATACAACTGTTGTTGTTTAGTCGTCTTAGTCCTGTTCGACTCTCCGTGACCCCATGAACCAGAGCATGCCTTGGAAACTCTCACTTTCTTCTCAAACCTTTTTTTTTTTTTTATGTCCATGGAGTTTTCTTGGCAAAATACTGGAGTGGTTTGCCAGTTCCTTCTCCAGGTGGATCACATTTAGTCTAAACTCTTGGCTATGACCTGTCCGTCTTGGGTGGCCTTGCATGGCATAGCTCAAAGCTTCTTGGAGTTATTCAAGCCCCTTCGCCACGACAAGGCAGTGATCCACGAAGAGGACAAGCATTGTATATTAGGATAAATTCATGCTTTTGATGATTAAAAAAGAGAACATTCATAAACTGATGTAGAGGACTGAAAAAACGAGAAGCACAGAGGATCCATAACTGATATATTCACGCTTCCATACTGGGGGAGTGGCATGTCAGACCATATGCATATGTTGCTACTTGAGTGAGAAGAAATGTTCCCCAAATGTCAGTGCTGCCATTTTACCACATCAAAATGCAGAGTCTGCCCCTCAAACTAGTGAAGAGCCAATGTGTCTGCAAAAAGCAGAAGCATTCTGTGCTGTGACTCACCTCCTTAATGCCACGACTGCATGCTTTCCATGGGAATGGAGGAAGGCAGTCAGTGAAATAAGACCTGTGACAACTGCAATTCAAAGTCAAATAGATGGCAGCTCTGGATTTATTGAAACTGCTGCTGTATCCTTTTATAATGAGACTTTGGTCTAACAACCATGATATTTTTGAAGTGCCAAGTATGAAAATTTATCTTCTTTTTTTTGTTGACTCTTGGAAAAAAATGTGCCGTCTCTGAATCTGAGACATGGTTTTGCCTGTTTTTCTAATAAACCACCTCTTCTGGAATAACAACTGGCAGACTTATTTAAGCTGTGGGCTTGCATTGTTGAAGCCAGTTGGGAGACAAGGAAAAAAACAAGTCCAAAACAGTAAAAAAGGTGACCAAGCACAGTTATGAATTACTCTGGACCAGATCCTTTAAAATTGGGCTACGGAAAGGCATAGCAAAATCTTTAACCCAAAATAACATCCTCACCTAGGCTGCGTTCACATGGGAGTTTATTCTATTTTTATGACGTTTTCCTAACTATTAATTTCCAAAAAGTGGCTCTTATGTCATTTGAAAGCTGAAATATAAGGCTTTCAAATGATGTAAAAGCCAATTTGTAGAATATAGTGTAGATTAGTGTTGAATTTCCTGTTATTTGCTTCCAAAAAAAAGGCAATAATATGGAAACAGGTGTTCCAGAAGCAGCTTTTACATTGTGTGAAAGCTTAAATATAAGGTGAAAATTAACAGTTAGGGAAACATCATGAAAATGGAATAAACTGTCATGTGGATGCAGCTAATATAAAAGCTACTTCCAGGACTGTAGTGAAACTATAGTGCAATATAGTTCAAGTTTAGCACTCATTATTTGCAAATGGATTAGTGCCATCCAAGAGGAATAAGTACATGAACGGCTCAAAATTATTATATACACTAATCAGAATGTCAGTAATCCAAATTTCCCATACAACTGGGCCATGGGTTTTCTGTGCAGCATGGTAGATCTATTACCAATGTACTCTACATCACTCGAAAAATAATCTAGTCTAATTCAGAATTTGATTGAACCTTAATTTTTCTTCAGCCTATGGTTTAATTTAGAACCATGGGATTGTAAAATGGGGAAAACGTGGTCCCATTCCAAACTGCTGTGCATCTCTGTTTATTTCCCATGAATGGATGAATGCCAGGAGCAGAAAACTTTTCCTCTGTCTTAGATTTGGGGGGAATCAAATCTTTTGGAATTGCCATGCTTTGAATGTTGATTGCTGCCAAAACCCGCAGTCATAGGAAATGTTGCTTTGTAATGAAACCTAAATTGGGCAAACTTCCAATGAAGACAGTGGGATTGATGCATGTCGATGGACTGTTACACTCTCAGAAGGGCTGTTTTACACCTCATGCTAGAGTATTATACAAGAAAAATAAACCCGCAGATGTTCTTCTGCTTGCACATGTTCTTGCAGAAGCATGAAACTGGCTATAAAATTGAGCTACTATAGCAATGCACAAATCATTTTACTTGTGCTTCCACAGTACTGGTTACAGGACTGATCCAATACGTTTTGTTGCCAAGGATAAAGGACAAGATGCCCTCCTGTTCCATTCCATATACAGAAGCTGATTTGACTGCCAGCTAAGTCGCTTGGGGCAGGGGAGGGCAAGACAGGTTGCTTAGCATACATGAGTCAGCCCAAGGGCCTGTTGTTGCTGTTCTCCAGCAAGTGTCGCCCAAGGCAATCTCCACACTTTGCCTAATGGTAGGGCTGGCCCTGTGTGGCTATCATGGTTCTTTGGATCTAGCCCAATCCATCTTGTACCGGCCTTTCCCCTCCCTTTATGGGAAGCCTTAAAATTCTACGCTAGAGATTGTATTCAAACCCTTCTGTATTCCCTTAACTTTTGGCTTCAAACTGGTAAATAATATGATCATTTGAGGGGAAAGTATTGCTCTTGAGTTTATAAGGTTTCATTTTGGATTACTATAAATTTAGATTTATAGCAGCAGGAACATTTTCTGAAGCTCCGAACAGGTTATTCATCACATATATGCAGTCATTTGATCACACAGAGCAGCACAGTGTTGGTGGTTTCATAAAACTGCAATCATTTCTGCTCTCTTGCTAATCCCCAGTGATATCTAGAGATACTTTTATTTCATGGCTGCTTTTTTCTACGTACCAAACTGAATGTAAAGAAGCATACAATTAAATACTACTGACTCAAACGGCATCTCATTATTTTAATAGCTCCACAACTGCATTCCCCTTGTGTGGCCTGCAGAACATAGGTACAACACTGTAACAGCAGCTGTGAAAACAGCCAGCCTTCCCTGTGTTTAGATATCTATCTGTGGCTAGGGAGTAAGTGTGTGGAGAAGGGAGGAGGAAGGCGGAGTATGGGGGGGGGGTCAAAACTCAAGAATGTAACAAGGGCTGCAAATTCTACAGTAGGTACATTTCTCATAACCTCTCCAAAGGAAAACGATTTGCAGACCTGAATTGTTCATAGAGGTACAGTGCACAAAGTTCAGTTTGATGGACACTGAAATCTGAGCAGCCTCCCATCATAAAGTGGGAAGCTAGCAAGACCTGGAGGTAAAAAAATAAAACAAAACAGACTTCTCTTTTAAGGGGGAGAGCTGCTCTATGGGCACTTCCAGGTTTTTGTCTGGAACACTGTGTTGGGAGTAAAACTGTCATAAAACTGATAGACAGCAAGAAACTCCAAGGTAGTACTTCCATTGATTTCAAGACATGGCTCGTCCAATGTAGTTGGTTAGAGGAAACATAAAGTTGTGCTTTATGCACTTTAGAGATTTACAATGGAAACCTTTACCTAAAATGCTGGAAATGCCACAATTAAGGTTACCTTTACATTTCACCTTTCATATTCGTTTCATAGGTCATTTACAGATGGCTTATTTGTTGAGCCATCTTGTTGAATCTCATCTTTTGTTGAACCATCTCAACCTTGCACAAAGTTTGCAGGGAGGTTAGATGATGTTGGCTATTTACTGAGCGTTGATTCTGATTTTGTTTGAAGGGAGGTTGTACAATGTTACATCCAGCAATTGTTATCCAACACTTTCCGGTGCATTTCCCAGTCACTTCCTTATCACAAAAAGTCCAGGGGTTTTTTTGGGGGGAGGGGAAGCAGAATTGGTGTGTAGGAGCAGCAAATCATCTTGGATTGCACAACCTGAATTTTCTGATATTTGATTGAATCCTACCCCAAAATCGTGGCAGTCTGGAACCACCCTTAACAGACATGCTGATGATGCAGCTAACAATTTGCCCATACATTGGGGAAGCCATTACCATGGTTTCAGATCTCTTGTGAGACCTGCTATAGTTACATTCTAGTTTGGCCATAGGATCAACAACAACAAGAACAGCAACCAGACCAGCTCCCATTTTTAAAGAATGTCATTTTATCACTTTGATCAAATGATCAAAGGAAGAGCATTTGAGAAGGGCCATAGCTCAGTAGTAGAGCATTTGCCTTGCAAGCAGAAGGTTCCAGGTTCAATTCCTGGCCTTTCCAGGTAGGGCTGGGAATGACTCCTGTTGTAAATCATGGAGAGCTGCTGCCAGTCAGTGTAGACAATACTGTGCTAAATGTGGTCTGCCTTGGTAAAAGGCAGCTTCTTATTTTCCTAATCTGTTTCTGATTTCATACTTGAAGAAGGAGCATCAGTTTCTTGAAGTAGCAATGCCACTGTGAGTCTTGATCCTGAGCCTGTTAAAACAAGTTCAGAAAATCTCACGAACTTAATCATGAGAGAAGAAGGGTACCTCTTAGTCTAAGACATATAATCTCTCTGAACATGGAACATGGGAATAGTCTGAACATAAAAAGGGGCAGGGAGGAGCATGCAGGAGGAGCACTTTTCCTTAATGACACTTCACATGCCAAGCATACTTGTTTGTCTATTGGTGTTACCATGGCCCTTGTTGGGAACTCTTTGAAGATGCTCCAACTCAGGACCAAATGGAGAAACGTGCTAAGGGGAAGGCAGGTTTAGCAAACCATCGGTGTGATCAACTCCTTCCCAGAAACCTATGTCCCCACTGTGGAAGGACATGTGGATCCAGAATTGGCCTCCACAGCCACCTAGGGGCACACCGTTAAGACTGTGTTCATGGAAGACAACTTACTTGGATACAAGTGATTGCCAAAGAAGAAAAAGTTCCCATGGCTCTTGTTGGGAACTCTATTCAAAAGTAAAATGATTCCTTCAAATGAAAGCCATTTGTCCATTGGCTAGGGAGTGCACCTGGTGAATGCAGATTCTTGCTTGGTTTGGATTAACCTCTAATCCAGAAGAATCTTCCCAGTCTACTTTAGGAATATAGAAAGCTACTTTATACAGAGTCAGACTGTTAGTCTGTCTAACTCACTGTTAATCTGTCTAACTCAGTATTGTCTACACCAACTGGCTGTTTCAGGGTGTGGTCTCTCCCAGCCCTACCTGGAGATGCAAAGGACTCAAACTGGCACCATCTGTGTGCACAGCTGATGATATGCTACAGAGCCCTTTCTTGCTTTGAAAAGCTATGCTTGGACAAACTACTGCTGTGAGGCAAATGTGAGGCTCTTGCTCCAAGGCTTCTCTATGATGGGGTGAAATTTTGCCCCTTAGCAACAGTTTTTTAAAAGGATGTAGCTTTGGAAACAGTCTCTATACAGATGGAGACAATCACGGCAGTGGAAGCAGGAGGAGGCCAGAGTCTGAGTGGAAGCCACATGTGTGTCATGTCTCTTTCTAATCCATTATATATTTTCTAGTCATTATATATTTATAAAAGAACCAGACTCTATAGTGGGTGTGAGAAAGATCACAGTGGCCTCTGTTTCAGGCTTCTTGGCCCAAATAACTGAAACAAAAAAAGGTTCTCTCTCTTGACACTTCCTCCTCCAGGAGCGATTTGGCTTTCTTAGTCAATCAATGACTGGTAAAACCCAAAGCCAAGTCTATGCAATATCTTGGCAATCAGAGGACAGATGTCTCAGCAGAAAGAACCATCATTATTTCTGCCAATTGTTCAACTTATTTTTGGTTTGTGAGGATAACATAATTAACCCTTCCGAAAAGAGAGCCACAAATCACAGAATATTGGCATATGTGTGGCATCACACATTTTTCCAGAGCAAGATGATTGATAGGAGATGGAGTGGGGTAACAGTATGAAACTTTTTAGTGACTCTTCACAATCCTTTGTTTTTGTTGTTGTTGGTTTCTTTATTAAAGATTTTTTTTCTTGTTTTACAGAAGTATGTGTAATGTCTCTCGTATTTTTTCCATGTAACATTTTTACATGGCTGGACATTTCCCCCAATTAAAATGGGTTGCATTCAGACTTGTAACACTGCCCCATGTCTTGGGGTAGGATGGCATGGATGTGTCTCCTCACACTGGTCTTTGCCAACAGAGAGGAGTCCTACTGGTGGGGAAGGCTTCATCATGGCAGAGACACCAGCTTCATTGAAGGTGGCAGAAAACTGCCACCAGTTGTTCCCTGTTAGGCTGTACCCAACGCTAAGCCTCACAATAGAGCATTTCTTGGCAGGATGGGGCGTGGTTTCAAGCACCTAGATCCCAAACCCCACAGATTCCCTGAGGTACCTAATCCTCATGCCATTTAGGTGTGCCAAGCTGCATCTAGTGTAGCAAAACCTAAACAACACAACACAACACACCTTCCATCAAGGCTGTGAGGTGGCAGGGCTTCAGCTATAGTGGTAGATCTTTTGTTGCATTGCTTCATTTAGGATTACTCTGCCTGTTGTTCTTAGTAAATCTAATGAAATTATGACTAATTGGAGGCCATTTATTTCAGTAGGTCCTACTCTACGCATGATCCTGCACAATATTTATGTTTGTTAAATTCATGTACTCAAGAGCAGAGTTGGATGGATACTTTTAAAAAGAATATATTATAAAAATATGATATATTTAACACAATACATAACCATGGACTAATACATGAATCAGAACACAGTTACATTTGGACCCAAATATTAATCCAGGAACTGTGAAGCAGACCAGTTTGCTTAAAACCGTTGACCAAACAAAATGCTCCAGCATCCTTAGGGAAGACCCAAAAGCTGATTTCCGAGATGATGTAATGATCATTATACTGTAAAAGGCAGTCAGCTGAGACATGTTTCTCTGTGCTTGGTAGAAACAAACAAAATGATGATTGTTGAAGACCACAGCATGGAGACTTCTAGACTGAAAAGAATCTTTGTCATAACTGTGATATGCACACATGTTTTTGTACAGAAATCACTCTTTACAGATAAATCCTACAGACTCAGAAGGCAATCCCCTTGTGTTACTACAGGGTAACTGTTGGCATTGCTGCCTTAGAACATTATTGCTCTCATTTTGAAAAGCAAAACAAGAAAAGGTAGGCGCATGTTCTCCAAACAACTAATAGGAAGCAAACATCAAACTGAAACAACATGTCAATATGTTTTTTGTCACACACACGGCCTATTTTGTTGGTGTGTACTCAGGCCAAGCCAGATTTAGACTTTGTATAACAAGCTGCCAAGCATGTGCTTTCATTTAGATGCATGCGCCTGGGCACATACATCTCATTAACAGGAGTTTTGCCAAATAAATACTGGAGACTGAGGCTGAGCTGAAGATTAGGTTGCTGCAGGCTAAGTGACAAACAAAGAGATGAGACACAAACTTCTGGGGGTTAAATGGGTCACAGCTTATAAAACTATTTAATAGGACCTGCAGCAACCTAGCCTAGATCTGCACACTGTGCATGCATTCCCACTATAAGAATTATTTCTGAGTGATGTTCATCTTGGTTTCCCGCTGCTCCCCAGAGAAGGAAGAGACATATGGTGGCAGGTGACTCCCTGCAGAGGAATAGACTCAATGGGAAGGGAGAAGGAGTAGCATTATATGTAAAAGAAAGGTAAACATAGTAAAAAGATTGAAGGCAGATTGAGAGTATATGGGTAAAAGTTGTAGGAAAGGGAAACAACAGTGATCGTGGGTATCTGCTGTAGACCACCAAGCCAGACTGAAGACTTAGATGATACCTTCAAAAATGAGAGATATAGTAGTCATGGAAGACTTCAACTACCTGTTTGAACTCAAACACTGCCAATAATGTAAGGTGTAACAAGTTCCTCAATTGCCTCACTGACAATTTCATTTCCCAGAAGGTGGAAGAAGCAACAAGGGGATCACTTCCAAAAGTGGAAGTACTGGGAATATTAGGAGGAAGCGATGGTTCCCTCTTGGGTTTCATTATACACAGGCAAGGAAAAGCAGAATGTAGAGAGACATACACTCTAGAGTTTAAAAAGCTTAAGGAACTATTGGATGAGATCCCCATACCCTCTAACATTTCTCAGATGAAAATAGCGGTGTCCTATTCCATAATGACGCGGGTAGCACTGTGAGTAAAACCTCAGTGCCTAGGACTTGCCGATCGTATGGTCTTGCGGTTCGAATCCCCGCGGCGGGGTGAGCTCCCATCTTTCGGTCCCAGCTCCTGCCCACCTAGCAGTTTGAAAGCACCCCTAAGTGCAAGTAGATAAATAGGTACCGCTTTATAGCGGGAAGGTAAACAGCATTTCCGTGTGCTGCGCTGGTGCTGGCTCGCCAGAGCAGCTTCGTCACGCTGGCCACGTGACCCGGAAGTGTCTCCGGACAGCGCTGGCCCCCGGCCTCTAGAGTGAGATGAGCGCACAACCCTAGAGTCAGACACGACTGGCCCGTACGGGCAGGGGTACCTTTACCTTTATTCCATAATGATAATTTTACTATTTATATCCCACACATCTTACTGGGTTGCCCCAGCCACTCTGGGCAGCTTTCAACATATATAAAAACACAATAAAACATTAAGCATTAAAAAACTTTCCTATACAGCATTGCTTTCAGATAGCTTGGATGTTCGGTAACTCCACACCCTCCAACATTTCTTCAGTGAAAATAGGGACATCCTAAGGAAAAGTGGGACATTCTGGGATCAAATTAGAAACCGGGACAACTTCTCTAAATGAGCGACGTCCCTGGAAAATAGGGGCACTTGAAGGGTCTGGATCCCATGGTCAGAAATACTCAAAGAGAAAGGAGTTCAAGATAGATGGGAGTTTCTTAAAGGTGAAATATTGAAGGCAAAAATGCTGACAATTCCAACATGCCCATTTTTGCAAAGCAATTCTCACTAACCAAATTCAAAATTGCATGCCATTGTCCACTGGTTTCAACTTGTATATACAAGCAAAAGATCTAAAATGCTAAGGATGATTTAGTAATATCAGTAGTTTGAATTTCAGGGGAAAGTATGATGGATATCATAAATCCAAGTTCAGTCATCTGCTGGGCTGTGTCAGCAATGCCAGCGCTTTGCCAGAGAAAAATATCAAGTATGCTACTTAATGTGCTCACTTGTAGATATGCCCTCCTGGCTCCAATTCCATTGCTTCTCAGATGTATTATGGGGCCTGTGTTTACAGATCAATATTGCATGAAGGTTCAGGCCTCATTTCCAAGGTAAGCTCTA